ACAAGAAAATGGCTTTATTAAACTAAGCACAAAATAATTCAGATGCAATAATGATGATTCATTTTTTTAAAAAAAGTAATTTTGTATATCTGCTCCAGAAATTGTTTTGCTTTGTTCACACTAAGTGAACGCTTCCATGTTGTAGGCAGTATTCGCTATCCTTCACATGGCACTCTGGCCCATGGCATATCCAGGAATAAATGCATTTGAAAACAATACTTTATTAAATTAGATACAGTACTTCATTAAAACCACTAATTTCTGCATGTTTGACTGTTATTCGTATATATTTTATATGTGTATACCGAATTTGCTGTCCAGCTGGAAAGACGTGGCTTGATTTCCCAACCAAAGAGGATTTCATCAACACAGATTATTTCTAACACATACATCATCTTCCCTGCTCTGTGTGCTGGCTTCTTATCAACTCAGTGATTTTGAGTTTCAGTACTTATGTTTCTGATGATCTAGTACCTTGAATATCTGAAACAACAGTAGCCCATGTTTTGTGTACAGTAGGGTGCACATGCTTTCAAGGAATTCATCAGAGGTTGGTGATCCTTTGGTTGGGTTCTCTTTCCATGTCACCCCCATGAACTGCTGGTACCTCCTAGGATCAGCTACTAGACGACTAAACACGGTTTCCCTTCCTGTGCCTTTTACGTAATGGACTGGCATCCAGCCCTGTGACAGGATACGCACGTCGCCTCCATGCTGTGACCTCCCGTGCCGTGCGTATTCCCATCACGTGGGAGGCACGCATCTGCAACGCTGGCATTTACTGCTCTGGTGCAGCAACCTGCTTCCCGTTACTCAAGGGGCATGTGCTGCCGTCCTCTTGGGAAACAGCCTGGCAGGGATGAGGCTACTCGAACCCTGCTCTTATCGCCTCTTGAGAGAGATGAAAGCAAGCAGACAGTGGCTGAATTAGTTGTTTGTTCAGCTTGGATTTTTGTCTGACCCACTGATTGAGAATTTGTGTGGCATCCTGAAGAGAGACCGAGGGAGCAAGATGCTCTGTGTTGCCAATGAATTTAGCAAGGCCCCAGGGTGCTGCTTGCTGGGTGGCTTGGGTCAGAGATGACCCTTCCTATGGAGGCAAGAAAGAAGATGAAGTCCTGAATGAGCGCATTTCTGAGACCAGTAGCTTGATTGTTAAAATCTCTCAGGACAAAGTCTAATACCGCGGTCATCAAGGCTTTAGTGAAAACTTTTTTTTTTTCTTCTTCATAACACTTTGATGTATAAAATGACTTTGAAATCTGCATTAGCTTTGTCTTCTGTAGTTGCAGAAATTAGTTCTGTGAATCTTCTTTACCGGGGTGTTTCTGTTGGATTTGGTAACTGATAAGGAAGCGGATACAACGGTACACGCCATGTTGAACCCTTTTGGTTGGTTTGTGAGACAAGGAGCAGTTTTGGCTCAGGTCAGCTCGTTCAGAACCAGTCATTTTACTTGCATAGTGTTCAAAATTGCTTAATTGAAAGAATTTCTTTTTTGCTATAGTGGAATTTGAGAATCTTAAATTTCAATTTCTACAGTTTCATATTTCTGGTTTTAGACACACGTTTTACACAGTTACAGCAAGGGCAAAAGTTTTGAAGTAACCTGTGCAGTCTGCAGCCACTAATAAGACACTTTTTACAAAGTGTACCTCTATATTTTGTGTCTCATACTGCCATCTAAGGGCCACGTAGGCTGAGAAGGTGGCTAAGTTTCTTCAATGCTTTTCTTTCCCTTTTCTGCCCTTCCCTTTGGGAAGTCAGCAATTATTGATGAGATGGCAGGGAATAATAGCAGTCCTTTGATGCAATATCTTGTTTCATCTAAGAGGATAGAGGAATCTTCCAGATAGGTGAGAAATTAGGATGTAAATCAGAGTTGTAGTCTTTTAGGAAAATGCAATTGCAATGAGTTTGTGTAGAAGCCAGCATATAAGAAAGTGAGATTGCAGGATTTGAGGCTACCCTTGAAACAAGAAGTTCAGGAGCATAGTGTTTAGAGTCCATGCCCTGGTTTCAACTGGGATAGAGTTAATTTTCTTCCTAGTAGCTGGCACAGTGCTGTGGTTTGGATTTAGTATGAGAAGAACGTTGATAACTCACTGATGTTTTGGTTGTTGCTGGGTAGTGCTTACACCAGTCAAGGACTTTTCAGCTTCCCATGCTCTGCCAGGGGCACAAGAAGCTGGGAGGGGGCCCAGCCAGGACAGCTGACCCCAACTGGCCAAAGGGCTATTCCAGACCATATGATGCCATGCTTGGTATAGAAACTGGGGGGAGTTGGCCTGGGGGACAGGGATTGCTGCTCGGGGACAAGCTGCAGGTGATGAGCAATTGCACTGTGCATCACTTGGTTTGTATATTCTTTTGTTGTTGTTGTTACTGTTACTATTATTTTCTCTTCTGCTGCTATTCTATAAAACTGTCTTTTTCTCAACCCATGGGTTTTACTGGGTCGTCTTCTGACTCTCTCCCCCGTCGCACCGGGGGGGGGAGTGAGTGATTGGTTGCTTGTTGCGCCTCCATGCTGTGACCTCCCGTGCCGTGCGTATTCCCATCACGTGGGAGGCACGCATCTGCAACGCTGGCATTTACTGCTCTGGTGCAGCAACCTGCTTCCCGTTACTCAAGGGGCATGTGCTGCCGTCCTCTTGGGAAACAGCCTGGCAGGGATGAGGCTACTCGAACCCTGCTCTTATCGCCTCTTGAGAGAGATGAAAGCAAGCAGACAGTGGCTGAATTAGTTGTTTGTTCAGCTTGGATTTTTGTCTGACCCACTGATTGAGAATTTGTGTGGCATCCTGAAGAGAGACCGAGGGAGCAAGATGCTCTGTGTTGCCAATGAATTTAGCAAGGCCCCAGGGTGCTGCTTGCTGGGTGGCTTGGGTCAGAGATGACCCTTCCTATGGAGGCAAGAAAGAAGATGAAGTCCTGAATGAGCGCATTTCTGAGACCAGTAGCTTGATTGTTAAAATCTCTCAGGACAAAGTCTAATACCGCGGTCATCAAGGCTTTAGTGAAAACTTTTTTTTTTTCTTCTTCATAACACTTTGATGTATAAAATGACTTTGAAATCTGCATTAGCTTTGTCTTCTGTAGTTGCAGAAATTAGTTCTGTGAATCTTCTTTACCGGGGTGTTTCTGTTGGATTTGGTAACTGATAAGGAAGCGGATACAACGGTGCACGCCATGTTGAACCCTTTTGGTTGGTTTGTGAGACAAGGAGCAGTTTTGGCTCAGGTCAGCTCGTTCAGAACCAGTCATTTTACTTGCATAGTGTTCAAAATTGCTTAATTGAAAGAATTTCTTTTTTGCTATAGTGGAATTTGAGAATCTTAAATTTCAATTTCTACAGTTTCATATTTCTGGTTTTAGACACACGTTTTACACAGTTACAGCAAGGGCAAAAGTTTTGAAGTAACCTGTGCAGTCTGCAGCCACTAATAAGACACTTTTTACAAAGTGTACCTCTATATTTTGTGTCTCATACTGCCATCTAAGGGCCACGTAGGCTGAGAAGGTGGCTAAGTTTCTTCAATGCTTTTCTTTCCCTTTTCTGCCCTTCCCTTTGGGAAGTCAGCAATTATTGATGAGATGGCAGGGAATAACAGCAGTCCTTTGATGCAATATCTTGTTTCATCTAAGAGGATAGAGGAATCTTCCAGATAGGTGAGAAATTAGGATGTAAATCAGAGTTGTAGTCTTTTAGGAAAATGCAATTGCAATGAGTTTGTGTAGAAGCCAGCATATAAGAAAGTGAGATTGCAGGATTTGAGGCTACCCTTGAAACAAGAAGTTCAGGAGCATAGTGTTTAGAGTCCTTGCCCTGGTTTCAACTGGGATAGAGTTAATTTTCTTCCTAGTAGCTGGCACAGTGCTGTGGTTTGGATTTAGTATGAGAAGAACGTTGATAACTCACTGATGTTTTGGTTGTTGCTGGGTAGTGCTTACACCAGTCAAGGACTTTTCAGCTTCCCATGCTCTGCCAGGGGCACAAGAAGCTGGGAGGGGGCCCAGCCAGGACAGCTGACCCCAACTGACCAAAGGGCTATTCCAGACCATATGATGCCATGCTTGGTATAGAAACTGGGGGGAGTTGGCCTGGGGGACAGGGATTGCTGCTCGGGGACAGGCTGCAGGTGATGAGCAATTGCACTGTGCATCACTTGGTTTGTATATTCTTTTGTTGTCGTTGTTACTGTTACTATTATTTTCTCTTCTGCTGCTATCCTATAAAACTGTCTTTTTCTCAACCCATGGGTTTTACTGGGTCGTCTTCTGACTCTCTCCCCCGTCGCACCGGGGGGGGAGTGAGTGAGTGGCTGCGTGGTGCTTGGTTGCCAACTGGGGTTAAACCACGACAAGTCTGAAGAGTTTCAGCTGAAACTCTTAGCAGTGAGGGATTGTGCAGTTCAGATACTTAAAGGTACCAATGTCCTTGCTCCCTACTGATTTAAGGATTAGTGCTTTATAATAGAATTTGCTTACTAAGAATTTCCCTTAAAAGGGACCACCAAATCAAAAGATTTATTTTTTTCTAATTTTTGTATTTCTGAGTGTTTTCATTTTCCTGGACTAAGGGAAAATGGGCAAAAATGTGGTGTTACTTTAAGGGTATGTGAATCACATGAACATCATTTAAATATTTTGGGGTTTAAGCATTCAAAATTTTATCATGAAAACTTTTCCTTCCAGTACAAAAATGCTTTTTTTTTTTTTTTTTTAATCTGCAAACTGTACTTAGGCTTAATTCTATAGCTCCTTTCTCACACAGATGTTTTGCATGAGAAGTATGCTAAACAGTTAGTGATGCAAGCAAAACGTTTCAGTCTTTGTCAATATAGTACTGTTGGCGTTGACTGACAAAAGCAGTTTTTGTAATGAGGACACCTTTGAGCACAACTTTATTTTACAATTTATGAGTTGTTTTTCAGGCCAGTTTCCAGCAAACCTTGTGTAATAGAGAAAGTAATTAATCTTGCACGTTACTTTGACAGGCCCATGCAAGCAAAGACCTGGAAGAGCAGTTGCGGTCTGTGTCCAGTGTGGATGAACTCATGACAGTACTTTACCCAGAATACTGGAAAATGTTCAAATGTCAATTGAGGAAAGGAGGCTGGCAACACAACAGGGAACACTCCAGCTTTGACACAAGATCAGACGATTCACTGAAATTTGCCGCAGCACACTATAATGCAGAGATCCTGAAAAGTAAGTATGGGACACAAAACACATTCTAACACACAGTAAGTTAAAATCCAAAAGCTTGTCAGTTGTGTCAAAAATATCTTAAAGGCTAAGCATCATCAGTGAGTCACCCTCAACAGTTTGATTTGATGTAATAGCTATAAAATAAAATCTTTGCCAGTCAGCCTTCCATAATGAAATAAATTGCTCCGCAGATGTATTTTTGGTACATCTGTTGTAAGAAAGGTATAGACTGCTTTCTCAGCTCAGTAGATAGAGGAAGTTAAGTGTTTTCAGATATAAGGAATCCTGCTTTGTAGAGTCTGTAACGATTTTGCAGAAAGCAAAGAGGGCACTAACAGTTGGATTCACTGAACTGTTTCTGCTCACCTTCTGCAATTACGTCACAGCTGCCAAAGATTTCTTCTCTTACGCGTTACTGCTTTAGGAGACCAAATCATCCACTTGTAGCTTTTTCCTCTTACAAGAGGGCTGTTGTCACGATGTTATGCTCAAACCAGAAAAAAACAGCATTCAAACAAGTATGTCAATACCACTTAGTATTTCAGATGGCCTGGATAAAAATATAATTAGCTTACATCTTATGCAAGTGTTTGCAGGCAGAGAAGCCCAGGATATATACTGCGGGAGGTGTATTTTCTGCCATGATATTGGAAATCATGTGCCTTAACGGCGACATTAGGTGAAATTTCCATTTTTGTTAAATAGCCTACCGAAAACCGTCTCCAAGAGAGAATAAAGGGGCCTGTACTGCTGCAAGTCTCATGGCTGTTTAGTGTAACATTGTATTTGGGAAAAGGCTATAGAACATGTAAAATGTGTGCCCAAATTTGCATGGATAATCTGGACATAAATATCACCTTCCACATTAAATCATATGGTATATATAGTTGCTAAATAATAACCTTTTGCTTTAAATTATACTCTGGTAGTTAACCAAGTAAACATGTATTCAAATTAATTCCATGTTAAGTGTGTAGGCATTAAATTTAATGTTTTTAATACATAGTATCCAAGTGAAGTACTGCGTAGGACCAGTTAAAATTAATTTGCAGAGATGTGCAGTACTTCTTTAGACTTCACTCACCCCAGGCATTCGAGAAGGGACACATACAGCTTTAGCTGTGAATGCCTAAGATCTGCCCAACCTTGTTAAGTTCCCTCTCAGCTCTCCGGTGACTTTTCTTCTGCTCCATGACAATATGTCACCTCCCTATGAAGCAGAAAAATTAGGTTAACACAGAGACGTGTGTTTCACTGAATAAAGGGTGTGACTCTAGAAATGCATATTCTAGTTCTAAACTTCAAAAAAATAAATCCTACTAATTTACTGCAGGAGAGTATTGGTTTTAAACAGTTACTTTATAACACATGAAATTCCCTATAACTTGGCAGGTATTGATACTGAATGGAGAAAAACTCAGTGCATGCCACGTGAAGTGTGTGTGGATGTGGGAAAAGAGTTTGGAGCAACTACAAACACCTTCTTTAAACCCCCATGTGTATCCACCTACAGATGTGGGGGTTGCTGCAATAGTGAAGGACTCCAGTGTATGAATATCAGCACAAACTACATCAGCAAGACAGTAAGTTCTCACTCTTATTACAGCTCCTTGCAGTTCCATTTATGATCATGCATATTTTAAACTGTCTTATTGCTACTACAGGAAAGGAAAAATAATCAGTTCCAGAATACATAGGAAAAACAGCTGACGAGACTACTGCCTGGAAGAAAATGTTTAACACTCTTTTCTGCCAAATGTACTGGGTTTTTTTTTTAGGGATAAAAAACAAATTATGATGTCCTGTCCTCAGTTTTTATATTATCCATGAAACTTAATTCTATCCTTTTTTTTTTTTTTCTTCTACCATTTCCCTGCTGCATGAGGCAAGCACTCTCTGGTAAACTAGCCTGTAATTTTATTTGTGAAGACTGTTTTAGGACATGTGCAGACAGGATGCATGTTGCAAATAAAGCCTTTTAGGAACTGAACTTTACTGTATTAAGAGATATTAGCATAATGTACCTATTTGTTTTGTTTTAATGCATCTTCCTCAGGTGTGTGTGCAGTTTTTATTCTTTAAGTTCAGGGCTAGTGATCAGGTAGGAGTATGAAGAGATTATGCATTGAGCCTGTGAGCTGCCTTTAAAGGAAAAGCATACACGCGTTATTTTATTTTAAGTAGCTGTAACAATTATCACGTTATCTTACAACAATATTTCCCTCAAAAATCATGTAAAAATAGTCATGCTTCAAAATGTTTGCTAGAGTATTTTGCTTTTGTTACAGTTTTTGGTAGGTTTTTTTGTTGGTTATGGGCTTTTTCACTTTTTGCCTCATCTTCCTGATACTTTGAAGAAAACTAATTTTGGTGTAAATCTTGCTTCCTTTTTCAACTAGATTCATGTACCTAAAGATGCTGTGCATATTTATAAGGAAGATACACAACTGCAAATAAAATTGTAGCCCATGGAAATGTCGTTCCTTAGTGCTCTGAGCCTTCTTGAGAGGGGATTAGGGAAAGGAGACATAAAGAAAACAGGAAAAAAAACCCTCATTTTTTTAATACCTTTTCTGTTCTCATTTCTCACCAAGTCTGTCTGAAATAGTATATTCCACCAAGAATTTTCAATCCTAAGTGTGAGCTAGTGGTAGACAACCGCAAGGCACAGGAATAATGTAACTCAAATAGCTTAAATGAGGAAAACTACAACACTGATTTTGTTCAAGCCCATGGTTATTCCCACAAACAGCTGTCCTAATTCCAGTTGCTTGAAAGATGCAAATTTACTTTCATGTTACAAACCAAGAAATATGAACTTTCTTCTTTTTTTTTTTTTTTTAAGGTATTTACAAAGTTTAGCTTCCTTGAATAAAGGATTCTCTAGTTACAGAGAGAGTTGTTGCATTTAGAACAGATTTTCTGGTCTTTGAGCATGATGTCAGTTTGGGGTAAATAATCCCTTTCTATTCATCTTTCTGTTCATATCTATTGAGTGGAGTAAATTTTTTTGCCTAGTAGAAAATGTTTAGACTAGTACTGAGTTTCTTCTTTAAGTTCTTGATGTCATTGGTGATGATATGATATAGGAGTAGTTAAAGATTTGAGAAACTCTGAAAAGGAAAATATTAAAGGACTTATCAGAAACAAAGGGGAAATAGCATTGTTTTGTTTTCTTTCCTATTCTGTAAAAGCAAGCAATTTAATATCTGAGTTTTCTATCTTGCCTCTGCTTTCCAGTTTTATCTGGTCCCTGACAGAATGGAGTTTAAAAAAAAAAACAAAACAAAACCTTAAAAGGGGAGAGAGCTATAGCTATATCTCTTCATCTGTCATCATCCCAAATCTTTTTAAAGTTATGTGACCACAGGTTATCCTATATCAGATGAGAATTAGGAAGAAAAAAGTATTGGATTCAAGACCCTTCTGTGGAATTCAGGTACCCTACATGCCTATTTTCACTACTGTTTTCCTTTTTTTTCCTGAATGAAATGAGAACAAATGGTTAGTAACCAGGCATCTTTTTTTTTTTTCATAAGTCACCATTTTTGTAGCTTTATTTTTTGTGCATAAACTTCGTAAGATAAGCTTCATACTGTTCAGCCTGCAGAAAAAGTGCTTAATGGGAAATTAACGTTTCAGCTGGAGGTCTTGTGAGGGCAAGCTCTAGCACTGGTTCCCAACATTAAAGTCTAAAGAAAGTTGATATCAGCTTTCATCAAAATTAATTAAAAAGAAAAGAGCTTAACATAGAACTTATTTTTATGGGGAGCAAATCATTGATTGCCAGAATAGACTAGGTCAGATGTTCCCAGATTGGCTTGTAGAACACTCTGGTGGTCCAGAGAGAGGTCAATAGTTCTCTAGTTCGGGCTGCGTTCCTCCTTTCTAGCTACATAACTTTATTAAGAGAAAAACAGAAAAGTATTTTGCTTTGCTTTTAACACTGTTTTTCCACAAAACCTGTTTTTGTAGTTGCTAAGGGGTGTTTATACAATCATGGTTGAGATATGAAACAATTTCTTAATTAAGATGTATAAAGACCTATAAAATAAGGTCTACGAAAACATTTGAGGACCCTCTAGGCTAATTCATAAAATGCAGTAGATCTTTTTCTTCTCCTTCATCCGTGACACTGCAATAGCCCTATTTTGTACGTGTTGGCTTGTCTACTAAAGGTCTGTGGGGAAGGTGGTTGGCTGGTTGTGGGGTTTTGTGGTATGGTTGTGCTGGTTTTTTTCTCCAACTTGTTATTAATCAAGTAGCCATTCTGTTTCCATGACAGAAGTAATTCAACAGCAGTTACAAAGACTGGAACTACCTGGTGCAGCAACAGCCTGTCCCTGAGCTGTACGTTTTTATGCCCCACCTATAGGCACTTGCTTATAGATGAAGGGAAGTGGTGAGCAGATGTCCAGAGCCATCTCATTCCATTCTTCCTCTTGGCTGGCAGGGTGGACAGTTTTTTGGCTTCTTTCAGATCATTTGATGTAAAGGTCCTAAATCTTCTTGTTTCATGGTTACAGTAATAGTCCCACAAGGGAAAACATCTTTCTAAGCAGTTTGAAATTAGATTTAGAGGAGTTTTTCTCACAGGAAACAAGCTAACAGCTTGAAATTGTTTGCCATATTTGAGATGTACATGGTGTTCCTTTACACAATTTGGAGATGTATATGTCACAGGAATTTTCAGTTTGTTTGAACTTTACCATTTATGCCTTTTCCCATGCATTTTTCTATGTTAGACTGATGATTATAATGATAGAGTAGGTACTATTAATATAGGGAGATATATCAGTATAAATTCCAAATGTTTTTTGTTAAAATATCTTTTAAAAAGTGATTAAAATGTAAAAAGATAGACTAAGAGACCCAAGCATATTAGACAGATAGAAAATGTATTATATCAGATAAGTTACCTATTGATGTATCACACATAAGCCTTGAAATACTGTTTTTTTAAAAAATTTAGATAGTAAAATAAATAATGATGATGTACCATTTTTCAAGTAGATTTTTTTCATTCTTTCCAGTATAAAGAAGTTTTGAAATCAAACAGTCTTACATCCTTAGCTTGAAAATCTCTCTAGACAATTTGTGCTCTGTTACACTGGTTATATTTGGCCAGCCTTACTGACACTTACTGACAGTGTAGTTAATGTGAATCTGGGAAAAAAATCATACATAAATCCTATATTTGAAATTTATCTAGAATGACAAGCTTCCCTCATCCCAATGTGAAAATAAGAGGTTTGATTATTTTATATTTCAGAAGTCAGTGATCATAATAATAATGTGTGCTGATGCAATGGATATTGGCACATATGATGATAGTCTTGAATAAATTAATTTAGACACTGAAGCAAAGAAATACTTTGTATAGAAATCAATAGTTTGTCTGGAAAGTATGGCATGAAGTCCTTCTAGTCTATAGAAGGAGCTATCAATGCAGTGAATCAAAAATACATGCTTTCCTCAGGATCAGTGAGGAGGAATATATGGGATTTATTTTTACAGGAATTCTGATAGTGCTTTCGGTCAAACATGTAAAGATTCCTGACTGCTGTTAGATTATTATTTTTTTTAAAAGGTTAACATCGTGCTGAGCTCTAGGTTGTGGACCAGACTCTGGTCCCACCCTTTTTTCTATTCTCTGCTCCAGCTCTGTAAATGGCTAAAGGAAGAGCACTGCCAGTGTGGGAACTAAAAAGAGCCTCTTACAGCATGGTCTATGGGACCATGCAGCTCTGGCCTGGAAGCTCTTGCACAGATGGCTGAAGAAAGAACAAGACTGGGAAAAAGGGGGACTGTTGCACTTGGCATCACAGTAACTGCAGGTTGCAGAGTGCTTAAGGCCAGGTCTGGTTGGGTAGAGTGATTCAGAGACACCTTCACTTGGTGTCCTCTTGCTGTGCTTCTCACTTTGAGAAGTACAATACAGAGCGTGTGCACTGGTCTTCTAGGATTTAAAAAACTGACAAGTAAAAGAATGAAAAAACAGGAAAAAAAATGTTTGTAGTTGCGCACGTGGTCGTAAAAGTGATCTAATTACTCACCTTTGTATCGGTCTGAAAAGTACTTTAGTTGTATACCTGTCTGTACTGGGAGGCAGAAAATACAAGTATAAGAAGTTGACCTTCGGGTCTGTAGGATATGCTGCCTTTTAGTTTTGGCTGGTGCAGTGGAACAAAGGTTAAGTATTGAGCCTAAAACACACCTTATTACAGATTGTGTAAACCAAATGTATGAAGAATTACCTTCCTTCATTTTTGAAGATGAATGTTTCAAGTTGGCTAGGCTGAAAGACAGATATAAAATCATCTTGATAATGGTCAGTGGGGCAGAAAATACATATCCTTAAAAAATAATTTTAAAAAAGTCCTGCAACTGTAACTTTTTTTAAAAAATCCATATAGTGCCAAAGATGGTGTCATGGTTTTAGCACAAAATTTCTATTTAAGCTATTTACTGTAGAAGGCTCTTGAATTTTTTCATGACAAAGAAAATGGGTAAAAAACATGTAGTTTTGTGTAGACACATAGTCTTGTTCAATGGTAAGCAACTCTAGCTTAATATTAAGATTATCCAACATATACTCCATTATAAACTCTATTGTAATTTTCAGCCTAAATTTGCTGTCCTTTAACAATAGGGGCTGAAATTTTCTCTGCCAGTACCTGACTCAGATTGCTGTGTTGTGTTTACTTTTAATTTTTTTTCTTTAAAACTTCAGCAAAAGTGGTGGTTCTGCTTTTTCTTAAACCAGAGTGAGAGATAAGTGTATATAGCTTTATCGTTAAAACAAAAATGGTGATTTTTTGTTTCTCTGGGGAAAAAAAACAAATTTGTGTTCCCTTGTTTTAGATAAAGGATATGACACTTGTTCGTTTGTATTAGGAATGTGTATTTTGTTATCTTTGAAACAGTCTGCATACTTTTAAGTGTTAAAAAAAACACCTAGGAAACAAATGGAATTGTTGGGAGACTTGATGCAGATTCAGATCTAGGCACTTAAATCCTATATTCTAGGGGCAGCCTGTCATTGATACACCCACCTTTATCATGTTGGGAAGGAAGGAACCTGGGTGATCCAAAAGTAGCTGGGACAAGTTGTGCGTGTGCCAGAATGCTAAAAACTATCATAAGGAACCCAAAAAGAGGGAAGGGAAATTAAGCTTCTTGGACTGGCTGGCTGAAAGGGAAATTTTGGCTGGGCTGAAATGAGTTGAGCTTGGCACAGAGAATTGTCATATTGGGTGAAGACCTAGGGAGGCAAGGGCTGAACACAGTACTTTGAAAAGAAATAGAATCTCACTAGAAATGGTGAGAAAAAGAACACCTGCAAGCTGGGTTTCTGTGACAAAACAGCCTTAGACTGGCTGAATGGCATGTGTTAAGTTCTTGTGAAATGCATTAACTGTATATGTTTTTCAACTGTTCTTCAGCTACATCGAGCTTTCATTAGTATGTCTTATCCACTGAGATTAATAGTATGTTACTGACTTATGTTTATGATATTAGCTCATATGGAAGAGATTAGGACAGTATTTTGATGGTTATTTGGGGGGGTGGGTGTTGTTTTGTCTTGTTATATATAATACTCTTTACTTATGCTCTCATATTGCTTTGGTGGTTGTTTTCCATTGGTTTCCTGACCTCAGTGAATGTGGTAGCATTCACTCAATGTTGGTAGCACAAATGTACAGGACAGCATGGGCAAGTTGAATCTAATTTTTTCTTTTAACTTTTGAGTATTTGCCTCTAACTCTAGCAATGCTCATTTAATGTATTTTACTTTTCTGTTTAATGTACTATAATTACTGACATTTTTCTCAAAAAATAAAAGCTCTCCACTGAAAAAAACCTGCCCTTATCCCTACTACTGTCGGATCTCGTGTTCTGGGGACTGAAGCTTGTTCTTTGCAGTCTTTGGTTCTGAATGTCTGTCTTTAGGCCTTGGCCCTTGAACAGTCCTGAAGGAAATGTCTTACTATGTTTTGAAGTTGGGAAGGGAGAGAAGATTTGGGCCTCTAAGAATACAGTAGACCCAATCCTTTACTGAATGAGGGATCAGACAGAAATATAAGCCATCTGATCTACAAGAAGTACCTCTATGGGCAATGTGGGTACCAGCACTGGTACCCCCAACCAGCAATGTTGTCAGAAAAGAAGGGAGTCAAGAACCAGCCTCATACAGAAATGTTATGGTCATTTCTCATAGAAATATCCTTTCTAGATATTGACACTTGGCTGTTACATATTGCCAAACATGCCCTGTAGTGACAACAGATGTTGAGCTTACTGTTCTATTGGATTAAGAAGATGAACAAGGAAAAAATTAACACATGCTAATAAAACCAGAAAGCGTTCCAGAAGGTCAGATCTTACATAACTCGAAATGTTTTATTAAGGTGATAATTCAAACCCAGCTAAGGTACATCAAGAGTTTATTCATTTACACTTAAATAGCTTCATTGGATTTAGAGATGCAACTATCAGCTGAGAGCAGAACGTAGATTTTCTTTATAATGGATGTTATTTCAAAATGCCAGAGATTATTTAAACAGGTTTATTCTGAGTATTAAATACATTTTCTGTAACAGACTACTTTTCAATAATTTATTTCTTGTGAAATCTCTTCTGGATGTATTTTCATTCTCAGAAGAATAAATATCTTCTTTTCCAGTATGCATCAGAATACTGTATCCTAACAGCATGTGCAAACAAATAAAAAGTGTAGGAGGAACAAATCAATAATTCCAACCCCACTATTTCACTTCCGTCATTTCCATTAAGGAAAATAGTTCTGTTTTATATTCTTTTTCAACATTTTGAATTTCAAAATTCAAAAATTCAATTTCAAAAATGCTAGTTCACGTATCATTTTAAGCACTGCCCAAAAGTGATTACTAGAAATGTAATACCTTTAAAGCAGAGAGAAGAGTGTCTCTACATTATTTTCCACAAACATGGTTCTTTTGATCCTTTCTGTCTCTTATCTACAATACCACCTTCCTCCTCTCCAATTTCCTAGTTAGATTGTGCATTATAACAATACCTACAATGGCCTTCAAACAGGCCATAAAAATAAATTAATAAGTACAGAAAGCTATTTGAAAATAATATAGTATGAAATGTGTTATGATTATTGCTCTTTTTGGATGAGATATCTTATTAAGAATGCCTTTTGTGATTAATTTAAAGGAACTTTTATAATAGATAAGGGTAAAGGAGCCAATATTGGTTTGGAAGCTGAAAAGGATTATAAGTATAATAAAAAGTTGATTAAAAAGTCTGTTTCCAGAAGTCTGTGTTGAACTTAGTGAAAACCCTGGAGGCATGTCTGGTGATAATTATGTTTGAGAGAAGCAGACACTAATTTAGGCATTCCTTTTATTGATACCAAACTTCAAACTAGATGTGGACTTGTGCCTTTATCTTATTAATGACTCAAGACCAAAATTTTAAGAAGTGTTATTTATTTTGCAGCTGGAGCAAGAATCCAAATGTTAATGTGTTTTGGCTAGAAGTCTCTCTAACAGGAGAAACTCTTTCCATGATAGCTCTGGATTTATTTTTTTTTCATCAGTATTTGGAAGATGCAGGAAACTATTTTCTGTTTTGGTTTTCCTTCTACAAAAGTAAAATACCAGTTTGCATTTTCAGATTCTAATGGGAAAAAACACCACGTAAGGGATATGGTACTTTTTGCACCAAAATAATAGCGTCATAATCTGCCGTAATAGAATAAAATGCAAATACAATACTTTTGCTGTTTCAGTTCTTCTATGGTGACACCCCCCTCAACGTTACTTTTCTAAAGATCCAGTCACTAAATAATATCAAAATTTGTTTTGTAAAATAGAGAATATGTGTCAGCGTTGATGATACTTTATACAGTTTAGGTTTAAGATGCACAGTTTAGGTACATTGATAGTACAAAGTGCCTTGTGGATACTTGGTGAATACGTCCCACATTGCTGCACCTGCGTGCTTGTCCGTGCTCAGGCTCGCTGGCATCCTTCAGTGCAAGGTGCTGCTTTCAGGACCTCCTATCGATGTACTTCGTCTTTTGAGTCATTTAAAATGACCACCAGTTTTGTTACATTTGCATGCTGCCTATGTGCCATACTATAAAGTTATGGATTATAAAAAAGCCTTTCAAATAGTTCTCAGCTAAAAATCAAAGTATTGTTATACAGTCTCATCAACTGAAACTGGAATAATAACCAATGACCATGGTTTTAAAGGTAGTAAAGTCCTGGAAGATGGAGAGATATTCTTAAATATATTTGCAAAAGTGACTAAATGCCTAAAAGGCAACAGTGCACTATTATCTTATTAAAAATACTACCACAAATAGTTTTTAAGACTTTGAACTAAAGTATTTGTCTAACTTTCTAGGAGACTATTGAGATTTGACTCTTACAGTGAAACCTTAATTTCATAAAGTGCCTGTCCTGCATTGAATACTGAAATGAATCCCACTGTTTGTCTGTTATCACATGTTCGGTTTTTCCACAAGGTGTTGCTGAAGTTGTCCTCTTCCACCAGTGGAACTACATTTCCCAATAAATTAGGTTTTTATTCATTCACATACGTGATTATTTTATTAATAGTGAATATTTCTTAATATTCTGAAAAATATTAATAGTTCGAGTTGCATTCTGTTAGGGTAAACATATAATTTGCATTGATACAAATACTGGAAAGTCAAAAATGCAGTATGCTGTGGTTCAAAACTTGTTCATCCAAAAATGTTTTGATCTAAAGCCAATATACTGCTGTTTTACACAAGCTCTTGTAGTTGTGCAACTGATGTATTAGGTTGTAGCTTACCCCCTTTTAAAATTATTATTATTATTCTTTTCCAACTTTTTGAAGCACTTTCCAAATGTTACGCTTTAGATTTTTTAAAAGGCTGCCAATTTGAGGTCATTTCCTCCAGAATAATGAGTTCTTTGTACATTTTCCTCTTTCAGCAATGTTAGTTTAAATGTTATAGTAAGCAAACAGGCACGTAACAGGCTTTAACACTAAAAATGTTGTCATAACATAGCTATTGTCACTGAATGATGGTAGAAAATAAAACCCCAAACTTAAATTCCTTACAGCTTTTTTTTGTGTGTTATATTATTTTTACTTGTACTGATACTGAACTATAAAACAAGTTCTTTGCTTTTCTTTCACTTTCATAGTTGTTTGAGATCACAGTGCCCCTCTCTCATGGCCCCAAACCTGTAACCGTCAGTTTTGCCAATCACACGTCCTGCCGATGCATGTCGAAGTTGGATGTTTACAGACAAGTTCATTCGATCATAAGACGTTCCTTGCCAGCAACACAAACTCAGTAAGTATAAGACTTGTCTTTCCTTTCACGTTACGAGCAAGCCCATATAATTAGATTTAAAATATTGCTGGAAGCTTTCACAATGAAGATATGTGAACTTACACCCATTAGTAGTAGTAGCAGAATGTGTTTTGTAAAGGAGCTAATATTGTTTTATGTGGAGAGAATGTTACTAAAGTAATTAGCACGGTAGCTTTTTACCCAGCGGATAAACTGGGGCTAGGTCATTCAAAAATGAAGAATAGTGTTGTTTGTGGGGTTTGTTTCATGGAAAGAGCTACAATGCAATTGAGGCTTAAAGGAAACATCAATAAAATCAACTTTTTTTAAAAAAGTAATCATAGAAGCTATCCAAAAATACTTCCGACTTTTGCAAATAAGGAGTAGACACCTTTTCTCTCTCAAACTGTATTTTCCTATTTAAAAAGCGGTTTAAAAAAAGGCCTACTTGTAGGGAATCTTTGACTACAAATCTTTTTGAACATCTTCATATGCCATAAGTGAAATAAAACAGAATGTGAAGAGGAAGGAAAGGGTTAATTGAGAGTCCACAGAATTAGCACATCGATTTGTGTGGTGATTATGAATGAAAAAAAGTTACAGAAGAAATCTGTCACTGAAGCAATTCTTGTTAAAACACTTGAAGAACTCCTTCCCTTAATTTTAGAGGACTGAGTGATGATGTATAAATATTTAATAGGCAAAAAATACATAACAGATTAACAGTTGCTTTATGGAAGAACCAATGACTAGAAGCTGAACTGGAATTATTTGTAGACACTTTTAATAAGGTGAGTGAATGGTGCAAAATGCCCAGAGTTGTAAGCTAGGTTGTCTTCTCTGTGTTTTCATTCAGTTAAAGTCTGGATTTTTTCTGACATGTTCCAGCTAAAGACAGATTATATGCTGTTTTAATTCAAATTATTGAATTTGTTCATCAAAACATGGATCATAAACAGTGGGCTAGAAAAATACTAAGAAATAAATCTATTAATAGTTTAATTAGTTGCATGTTTGACAGATTATAAAAAAAAATCAAAACCCACAAGTCAATAACGAAGTCAAATTATGCTGACTGTTGGCAGCGTCTCAGTGCTTCTAGACTAAGAGCAGTTGTAATTACCATTGCAAGAGTTTGTTCTCACCAGGAAACAGCTACTTGTAGTTAGAAGGAAGTAAGGGTACAGATACAAGACTTTGACCAGCACTCAGAGGTAGCTGGCTGTCCTGCGAGTAAGGAATCATGCTTCAGCAAAGGTAAGACAGAGTAGTACTAGATCAGAATATATACAGGCCTCCTCTGCTGTTAAGTACTGTCTTTAAGTTTAAAAAAATCTATGTCTTTCTACAAGAAAATAATTAAAATCAAGCAAACAAAACCAAACTGAGCGCTTCTAGACCCTAGGAAGGAAAAGAAAAGATATTTACATGTTCCTGATGGGTGCCTGGATGCTTTTCAGAATCCCATTGGGTTTTTTTAATTTGTACTGATGTTCTCAATTTCTTTTCAACTTCTTATTTTTCCATAACGTTTTTGTTTATAGGTTTGAATGCTAGTGAAACTGTTGCAAAACCAAAACTCGGAAATGTACGTTCTTGTCACAGTAACAGATCTTCATGTGTGCACGTATTTATGCACATGCTCATTTTAACAGAAATACTGTAATGACTTTCTTACGTATTACTGAAAAGAAAAGCCTAAGAGTATAATCTCTGGTTTTAGGGTAGTAACACTTGGGATCTAATAAGAATTCAAGGCTGGATTATGCCACGATGCACAGGCACATGTTAGAAAGAAGAGAGAAATCACATGTAAGACAGAGTACAAATAGTTGATCTTTTTTTTTTTACATAAACTATTTCTACACAACTTTATCCTGATAATTAAGGTCAAGGTCTTTTCCTTTTCTCCCACTTTTTTCCTTTTAAAAAGTAGTTGCTACCTCTACACACTGGTGGAGCTGAGGCATGTCTGTTCACGTTAAGCAGTGTTTCATAACACCTCCTGGATTAATGGTAGCTCTAAGTTGTACTCTTCTCTGTGTATATAGAGTGTCATCAAGATGTACAACTGAGAAAATTGCCACTCTGTTTTAGAAATTTAGTGATTTGGGGAGGGGGGGAACAGAGATGTTTTCAATATGCATCATTCAGATCCAAGTATCTATATGATGGCTTTTTTCTTTTCCCCATGGTTTGTAGTTAGGCACTTACAGAGCTGATAGTTGGATGTGTTTTGTACACGTTAAGTAAGTGTTTCCCCCTCTTGTGCATTATCTGTCCTGACACTGATGGTAACAAGTTAGCACGCTGGGGTTTTTTTTTGGTTGGTTGGCTGTTTTTTTAAGTTAAGTTGAGTTGACAATGGTTTGGAAAAAGGTAGTGAAACTTTCTGCAATGTGGTTTTGCCTCTGATTTTTTTTTTTTTCTAGCCTTCCTGAACTTTCCTAAAATCTTACAGTAAGTCATTTTAAAATTTCAGCGATATCCCCCAGTAATTTTCTGTACTGGCAACAGCTGGAGTAGAATTTGTAAACAGGCAGTTGCAGTTCCTTTTGCTGGGTGTCTCCAACCCTGATGCTGAAATATGTATCATTCTCTTCAAGTTCTGGTAACCTAGGTTTTGTATCAACATTGTCTTACAGGTTCATGTGTGCTTGGTGTTTTCTTCATACCCTGGCTTCCTTCTGTAGTTAGTTTTAAATGGTCCCAGCTAGAGCCAGGCTGCCCTAGGTGTGAGTTGTGTGGGTTTTTTAAACAGAATACAATAATACATCTGTAAATTATCCATACTGTTTCTCAAGCAGAATCAGGAGGCAGGCAAAAGGATAGACTTGGCACAAGTGAGGGAGCAAGAGTGAGATCATTAGCAGAATGAAATCAGGAAACACCAGCTTGATAAAACATGCGGTGAAGGGGAGTGGTATACCTGAATGATGATCACGGAAGAATGTCCCAGCACCTGCATTTTTGAATGCATGAGTAAGGGTGCTCAGGGGAATGAAAAATGTTTAAAACGTGTAATGTATGTGCTGTCTTAACAGATGAGGATTTTAGAAATACTACAGAAAAAAATGTATAAATGACACAGCCTGGGTTCATGAATTTAGGCATGACTTGTTAAAAGTTGTAATGTCACCTGTGGTGATAAATTGCAGGCAAGGAAGATCAAATAATGCACAAATATTTTATCTGTGGTGTGTACCTACTAGTTAAGTTGAGTCATCCTTTAAAAACAGACCAACTGGTCTTAGAATTTTTTCTTTCTTCGCTTACTACTACCTTGGCCACAGAACTCTTATCAGGTAAAGAACATTAAACTGTAAAATTGTTTATTGTCTTTCATTTCTAAAGTGAAGAGGCATTACTGGTGTAGTCCAAATCTTGAGATTCAAGAAAGCTGTCCAGGATTTCAGTGGCTAACAAGAAAGAGTCAGTTAATGTCACAAAACTTTCACATAAAGGGGAAAGGAATCTGATAATCTAATTTTGGTTTAGAGTTTGGTCTACAGCGTTCATTCAGAAACTATTACCAGCTGTTTCTTGATGTCTGTATGTGTGATTGCATGTTTGACAGATTATAAAAAAAAATCAAAACCCACAAGTCAATAACGAAGTCAAATTATGCTGACTGTTGGCAGCGTCTCAGTGCTTCTAGACTAAGAGCAGTTGTAATTACCATTGCAAGAGTTTGTTCTCACCAGGAAACAGCTACTTGTAGTTAGAAGGAAGTAAGGGTACAGATACAAGACTTTGACCAGCACTCAGAGGTAGCTGGCTGTCCTGCGAGTAAGGAATCATGCTTCAGCAAAGGTAAGACAGAGTAGTACTAGATCAGAATATATACAGGCCTCCTCTGCTGTTAAGTACTGTCTTTAAGTTTAAAAAAATCTATGTCTTTCTACAAGAAAATAATTAAAATCAAGCAAACAAAACCAAACTGAGCGCTTCTAGACCCTAGGAAGGAAAAGAAAAGATATTTACATGTTCCTGATGGGTGCCTGGATGCTTTTCAGAATCCCATTGGGTTTTTTTAATTTGTACTGATGTTCTCAATTTCTTTTCAACTTCTTATTTTTCCGTAACGTTTTTGTTTATAGGTTTGAATGCTAGTGAAACTGTTGCAAAACCAAAACTCGGAAATGTACGTTCTTGTCACAGTAACAGATCTTCATGTGTGCACGTATTTATGCACATGCTCATTTTAACAGAAATACTGTAATGACTTTCTTACGTATTACTGAAAAGAAAAGCCTAAGAGTATAATCTCTGGTTTTAGGGTAGTAACACTTGGGATCTAATAAGAATTCAAGGCTGGATTATGCCACGATGCACAGGCACATGTTAGAAAGAAGAGAGAAATCACATGTAAGACAGAGTACAAATAGTTGATCTTTTTTTTTTTACATAAACTATTTCTACACAACTTTATCCTGATAATTAAGGTCAAGGTCTTTTCCTTTTCTCCCACTTTTTTCCTTTTAAAAAGTAGTTGCTACCTCTACACACTGGTGGAGCTGAGGCATGTCTGTTCACGTTAAGCAGTGTTTCATAACACCTCCTGGATTAATGGTAGCTCTAAGTTGTACTCTTCTCTGTGTATATAGAGTGTCATCAAGATGTACAACTGAGAAAATTGCCACTCTGTTTTAGAAATTTAGTGATTTGGGGAGGGGGGGAACAGAGATGTTTTCAATATGCATCATTCAGATCCAAGTATCTATATGATGGCTTTTTTCTTTTCCCCATGGTTTGTAGTTAGGCACTTACAGAGCTGATAGTTGGATGTGTTTTGTACACATTAAGTAAGTGTTTCCCCCTCTTGTGCATTATCTGTCCTGACACTGATGGTAACAAGTTAGCACGCTGGGGTTTTTTTTTGGTTGGTTGGCTGTTTTTTTAAGTTAAGTTGAGTTGACAATGGTTTGGAAAAAGGTAGTGAAACTTTCTGCAATGTGGTTTTGCCTCTGATTTTTTTTTTTTCTAGCCTTCCTGAACTTTCCTAAAATCTTACAGTAAGTCATTTTAAAATTTCAGCGATATCCCCCAGTAATTTTCTGTACTGGCAACAGCTGGAGTAGAATTTGTAAACAGGCAGTTGCAGTTCCTTTTGCTGGGTGTCTCCAACCCTGATGCTGAAATATGTATCATTCTCTTCAAGTTCTGGTAACCTAGGTTTTGTATCAACATTGTCTTACAGGTTCATGTGTGCTTGGTGTTTTCTTCATACTATCACCCTGGCTTCCTTCTGTAGTTAGTTTTAAATGGTCCCAGCTAGAGCCAGGCTGCCCTAGGTGTGAGTTGTGTGGGTTTTTTAAACAGAATACAATAATACATCTGTAAATTATCCATACTGTTTCTCAAGCAGAATCAGGAGGCAGGCAAAAGGATAGACTTGGCACAAGTGAGGGAGCAAGAGTGAGATCATTAGCAGAATGAAATCAGGAAACACCAGCTTGATAAAACATGCGGTGAAGGGGAGTGGTATACCTGAATGATGATCACGGAAGAATGTCCCAGCACCTGCATTTTTGAATGCATGAGTAAGGGTGCTCAGGGGAATGAAAAATGTTTAAAACGTGTAATGTATGTGCTGTCTTAACAGATGAGGATTTTAGAAATACTACAGAAAAAAATGTATAAATGACACAGCCTGGGTTCATGAATTTAGGCATGACTTGTTAAAAGTTGTAATGTCACCTGTGGTGATAAATTGCAGGCAAGGAATATCAAATAATGCACAAATATTTTATCTGTGGTGTGTACCTACTAGTTAAGTTGAGTCATCCTTTAGAAACAGACCAACTGGTCTTAGAAATTTTTCTTTCTTCGCTTACTACTACCTTGGCCACAGAACTCTTATCAGGTAAAGAACATTAAACTGTAAAATTGTTTATTGTCTTTCATTTCTAAAGTGAAGAGGCATTACTGGTGTAGTCCAAATCTTGAGATTCAAGAAAGCTGTCCAGGATTTCAGTGGCTAACAAGAAAGAGTCAGTTAATGTCACAAAACTTTCACATAAAGGGGAAAGGAATCTGATAATCTAATTTTGGTTTAGAGTTTGGTCTACAGCGTTCATTCAGAAACTATTACCAGCTGTTTCTTGATGTCTGTATGTGTGAAAACATTTTGTACTGCAAAAAGCAATGTAGAAAATCATGCCTCTTGCTGCCTATGAGGTATTTGGCATGCAAATATTTTTTATACTTGTCTATTTTCTATATAAGGTTTACATTCAAGGGTTAGAACTGTTTCCAAACTACATTAGAAAAGTACAAATATCAGGTACTAGAAGTTAGAGCTAAAACTTGAAGCATGAGAAGGACAAAACACTGGTTGAAGATTGCTGTAGTGGGGAGAACCTTAATTAGGAACAGATTTGATAGGAGTTAAAACTAAGATTATGAATGAGCTGAAGCCCTTTGAAAGGTTTTTGTAATGGAGCGAAACAAAAGCAATTAGCACCTAAAACGGATTTTTTTTTTCCTGAGTGCTTATGGTAGTAAATCAACAAAATATTTCATTCCACAGGTGTCACGTGGCAAACAAGACCTGTCCAAAAAATCATATCTGGAATAATCAAATTTGCAGATGTTTGGCACAGCATGATTTTGGTTTCTCTTCTCACCTTGGAGATTCTGGTAAGCAGTTTTCCTTAAACAATTAAATGTAGTTCCATGTTTGTTTTGCCTAAAGGAGAAATTAAAAAAATGAAAAGTGAATAGTTGAATCTTTATTGAAGCTATTACTGGTTGTTGCCTGTCTTATGACATATATTTGTTCCTAAAACACCTTAAAAAGTACGAATTCAATGCTGTTTCTTCCCTTAAAAATATGGGATGGGTAGAGACAAAATTCTGATAATTGTACAACTTCTCTGCTGTATTTCTAGACACATCTGAAGGATTCCATATTTGTGGACCAAACAAGGAGCTGGATGAAGAAACCTGTCAATGTGTCTGCAAAGGAGGTGTGCGGCCCTCAAGCTGTGGACCTCACAAAGAACTAGACAGATCATCCTGTCAGTGTGTGTGCAAAAACAAACTTCTCCCAACTTCCTGTGGGCCCAATAAGGAATTTGATGAAGATAAGTGCCAGTGTGTATGTAAAAAGACCTGTCCTAAACATCAGCCACTAAACCCTGCAAAATGCATCTGTGAATGTATAGAATCTCCAAATAAATGCTTCTTAAAAGGAAAAAGGTTCCATCACCAGACATGCAGGTAAAAACTCAGTCTTTAGCCCTTTCATTGTGTTTAAGGTATGAAATTTTGAGTTGTGTCATTAGCTGTCTTGTTGGATTGCTTTGTAGCCTTAAGTAAACAGTAAGCCTCTCTCCAGTTCAGTTTTACCTTCTATGGCAGAGAAGAGTATTTTAAAGCATGTTTAGTTTCTCTTACTACTACTTCATATGACTTCTTTTTTTTCTTTTGATGAAAATGAGGTGTAAGTTCAAGCTTCTAGTTTTTTTATACTACTTAAAATCTCACTCTTATTTTTCCCAAGAACCAAATATTGCAATTCAAATAACTCAAATATTTACAATTAGATTGCAGGGATTAGTTCTGGAGGATACCATCATTCATTTTCACGTTCTAAATTTTTGCATATCCTCCATTTCACTCAACTGCTACTAAAGATTTATGAGTGCAAAAAAAGTCATAGCTCTGGGCAATTTCTGTGAGAAGTAGACATATAGAACTCTAAAACAGACCACCTACATTCATAATTTAAAATGGGATTTGGTCAAGAAAAAAACTCTGCAATTTCTTTATATATCACAGGAGCTTTTCCTTCCATGACTGCTATACGCATAGTGGTAGCAGTCTATATATAAAAATGTGAATGACTTCAGGTTCTGAGAAATAAACAATATTATTTCTGCTTTGTATATTTTATGAGGAAAGCTTTCCTGTAAAGTGAATCTGTTAAAACAGAAACAATCCCCTTTGGAGCAGAAAGACCACTTATTTATTAATATATGGGAATTCTTTCTATTACATTAATGACAAATAACTATTCCAGAAATGCAAATGGAAAATAGAAAATTGGGACATTTAAATGTCTGTGGTGATTCATTGCTTACCAAAAGTAAACCTTATGTATTTTTTTAATACAACATGAAATTAGTTGGCATAAATACATCACTATATATATACACACACACATTAGTTCATCTTGAATCAAGAACAAATGTTCAGAGGAATGAGACCTGTGTTGAAGTCCCTAAAATTAATAACTGAAGTCTTTAAAGTTAACATTACCTGTTTTGCTGTTTGGCCTTTTGAGTGGAATAAAATATTTGTTAGAAACATAACAAATAGTTTCTTCTCTGTTTGTCAGTTCTTATTTCAATTTTGTTTGCAGAGGAAAAAAACCAACCTTATTACATGAGCTTTAGCACATTGCAAAGCCTTAGCACTACTCAAGTGTGTGCTTCCAGAAGTACTACACATATAAACTATGTGTATTTTAAAATAACATTCATAACTGGAAAAGTCAGGCATTTAAAAAGCTAAGAAATATCATGATAGAGATCTGATGCCACTTCTGTTGGTTTAAAGACTTAGTATTTGAGGGAGGGAACTGAGCTTAGCTTTTCTCTTTGTTGTTGTGGTTGAATATGATAAAAGGTTTGAATCCTTTCTCACTTCCAAGGACAATGTGATACAGGATGCTTTTAGCTGTTTCTCTTTCCTAAGCAGTTTGTCTTTGTGTGGAGGAAGAGAGGAATATATGTATATGGTGTTACTCTATAGCTCTACAACCAATAGCTCTGTAGGTAGTAGCACTGTCAAGGAAAATAGAAGATGCAATCTCTCCTCCTTCTTAAGAAAGCACTTAGCATAGGTTTCTCACATTTTTGGTGTGTCCACAAGCTTTCCATAAAAAGAAAGAAAAACCTGCAACATCCTGTTTGTCTTCTGAAAGAAAGATCCCTTACTGTTATGAGACTACATAAATGGAGGTACCACTCTATAACTTTGTGCAAGATGCCTGAGACTTAGACATAAGCAGACCTGTGTAGCCCCATGCAGACAGATAGTCCTTGTAGGTTCTGGTTTTGAAGCACTTGCATTTTTATGCACTGTACCTAAAATGCTTCTGACTCTAATGTTAGACCCTGCTTCAGAGGACAGGAATAAAAAGTCATTTAGAAAGAACAAGACAGAAAGAAAAGGAAAAGGAAAAAAAAAAAAAAAAAACAAATCAACCAAAAAAATCCAAACCAAGCCAACACCATAAAGTATACTGGTTTTTAAGGTGATCATGCTGTTACCACCACTAAAAGTAGCACTCCTTGTTCAGTTTCATCTGTGCAAATGTTGTTAGACTCTCCAAAATCTCAAATCTGAGCATTTGATAGTAAAAATCACAGTTACTGACCATAAAGAGAAAGTTGCCACTGACTCATCCAGCACTATACAGACACATCTATCTTAGCACCAACATGCTCAGATTGTCCTCATCAAAACAGACATCCATTGCATGAAAGTACTCCATAAACAACACAGCCTAAATATTTTGAAAGACCTGGTCTAGTATTTTCCTAAGCAGAATTTCCTAAGGAAAACACATTTATATAATTACATTGATTTTGCTACTATTCACCCTGTGCTATCACCTCAAAAATTTATTTTGGTTAGTTTTGGCAGGGCCAGATAAGTAAGCATCTCAGCTGCAAAGCATTTCAGAGGAGGAGAGGGGCTTTCTTGCTCTGTTGAAATGTCCCAAATAAGGATAAGACTGCAGTACCCTGACCTTGACTGCTGCTAGACACAAACTCAGATGAGAGGGATGCTTTATAGCGCTGTAAATTAAGTTGAAGTTCACAACTCGCTAGGATGCACAAATCCTAAAGTGAACTCCTTGTATTTAATGATTCTGTAACTGCTTTTCATTTTGTGCAATTTGTCATAGGAAGGTGGAAGT